ACCAGCAGGATGACTGGGTCGACCACCTGGCATTGGCGGAGTTCGCCTATAACAACGCGGTGAATGCGTCCACCCAGCAGACCCCGTTCCAGGCCAGTTATGGTTATCATCCACGGCTGTTTCCAGAGGTGCTGCCGGCATCCGCGGTCCCGGCGGTGACGGAGTGGCTTCAAGAGCTCCAGTCCCAGCAGCAGCTTTTGGTGGAGCAACTGCACCAGGCCAAGGAAGCGTACAAAGCCCAGGCCGACCGCCACCGCCAGGTGGGGCCGGAACTTCGCGTCGGTGACCTGGTTTGGCTCTCCACTCGCCACCTCCACCCCTCTCGACCTTCGCGGAAGTTGGACGCCCGCTTCACCGGCCCGTTCCCTATCGTAGACCAAGTCTCTCCTGTGGCATTCCGTCTCCGGTTACCCGCAACCCTGAAGGTTCACCCGGTCTTCCACAGGTCCCTTTTGAGTCCGGTGGCCCCACCCGACGAGTTCCACCCGAACCGTCCCCGACCGCAGCCAGTGTTGGTTCGGGGAGAGCCTGAGTACGAGGTGGAACGCATCCTGGACTCCCGATACCGCAGGGGAAAGCTGCAGTATCTCATTGACTGGAAGGGGTACGGACCGGAGGACCGTTCCTGGGAACCAGCGGCCAATGTCCACGCACCTGCCTGCCTCCGAGAGTTCCATGCGACGTACCCCGGCAAGCCGGGTCCGGACCCTCGGTTGAGGGGGGGGCCTGGGAGGGGGGATGGTGTGATGGCCTGGGATTCTGATTCGGAGGATGAAACAGAGGAATCCCAGCCTGCACAGGAGTCCCCGCCTCCAGGGCCGGCTGAACTGGGGCAAGGCCTAGATGCTGAAGAGCCTGCACCTGTGGCAGTGCATCAGGAGCTGGCCCCAGGTGAAGCCCTTCTGGCCCCAGAGGGGCTTGACGACTCAGTGGCCACAGGTGAGCCTCCTCCAGGGCCCAGTAACCCTTCGGCCTCTCCTGATCTGCAGAGGCTTAGGGCAGAGAGGCGAAGGGAACTGGTTGCCCCCAGGAGGAGTGCTCGCCTTAAGGCCAGAGGAGGCGGGGCTCCTGGGGGCCGGGACCGCCCCTGGCCTTAGAAGAGGATAAAAGCCCAGTCAGCCCGGCCCCAGGTTGCGGGAGCAACGTCGTTGTTGGCTTCGGACCTTCCTGTGTTCCTGATCCCTGCTCGGCCTCCTGTTCCTGACTATCCGGTACTCCTGTTCCCTGCTCGGCCTCCTGTTCCTGACTATCCGGTACTCCTGTTCCCTGCTCGGCTTCCTGTTCCTGACTATCCGGTACTCCTGTTCCCTGCTCGGCCTCCTGTTCCCGACCATCCGGTGTTCCTGTTCCCTGCTCAGCCTCCTGTTCCAGCGTTCCTGTTCCCCGCCCGGCTCTCCGTCTCGGACCTCGCCCCTCTTCGTGTGGACTCTGCTTCACCCACGGTACCTTACCCCCGGGACCATTACATGCAGCCTCCCACCATTCCTAATTGCCCAGCCAGTCCCGGACATCCCACTTGTGAAAGTAGCCAGGATTACGTATTTTAAGCAACCATGCAGGAAAACAGTAAAAATATGATATGAGCCAGAGATGCCCAATGGAGAAAGGTCATGATTCGGTGGCACAGGATTTGCTTTTCAAGCAGAAGCTTCCGTGATCAATCCCCAACATCTCCAGGTAGGGCTATGGAGAACTCCTGCCTGAAATCCTGCTGCCAGTCAGTGTCAACCATACTGAGCTACATGGACCAACGGTCAAACTCAATATAAGGTGGTTTCTTTGAAAGTACTTGCAGTCAGATATTTTTTTAAAAAACTGCAAAATCCAATCAGTTGTTCAGTCTAGGTGACTGAATACAGACTGAATAAGAAGAGATAAATTTTTGATATTTTTCAACCTTCTTGTTCTCATAATTGTAGAGAAAATCATCAAAATACACTTTGCAAAATGTTCGTGAGAAATAAATCCCACTAGCACTCTATAGTGGCTGACAAATTCCACCAGGGGGCACTCCTGGAGCCACAAATGCTCTTAAGTCCATTATGGAATGCAGCAAGAGAAACAGATCTATTCAAGCCTGTATATGAGAAACTGACCACCCAAAAATACTGGAAGGGTTTAAAGGAAGAAAGACGATATTGGAGGGAGGACTACAAAATGATGTATCAAAAGTGTCAAGTGGCTAGTAGATTGTGGACAACTTGGAAGTTGAGAAATGAAAACAAATGGGCACTAAAATATAACAATTATTATGGCTGTTGTTGGTAGACTCACTAGCCCATGAAGTGTGATTGTGCAGAATTTATTACTTATAGAATTTGTATTGAAAATTTTGACATGACAGTCCTCAAAGTGGCTTATAAACAGCCAATATAAAACTAAGTAACTAAAATATATTATAAAGGCAATATCCAAAAGGTTTTCCATATATTTTGCATTTGTCTCTGTTATTCTCAAGGGCTGTGAAGTGGTGGGAAGGACAGAATCTTGCTATTATACAGTTGAGATGCACTGCAGAAAATCATGAAACTGATAAGTTAATGGAAGAACACAGCATTTCAGCATGCTGAGCTGTAGCCTTTTTAGTTGTTTGACTTTGAAACCTTTTCTGTCCACTGACCTAAAAGACAGTTCACGGACAGCAGTTTATTCAAGTACAAGTTAGCGGCATCTGTTATTGGACCTGCAGGGCCTCAGACAGTGCAAAGTACAAGTGTGTTTTCAAATTCTGGAGGTTAAGCAGTTTCAAGAGATAAGAGAGTGGGGTGGGGAAATGACCGTGACTGTGGAAGGACGTCAGAAAAGCCCAAATGGATCGCATCAAATATCCATCAACTGTAGGAAGTATCCTGTTACCAACATCAGTCAATCAAATGCCTCTGGGAAGCCCACAATAGCAAAACAACAGCTTCCCATTGTTGCTCCCCGCCAACTAGTACTGAGACCCTAGCTTAGTGAGCTATCTCATACTGTCTATACACAACCACTGGGCAGAGATGAGAATGGGGTAATCTACATTGACTCCTAGGACTGGCAAGCAGCATGGATCCCTTAGACAGGCCAAGTAGAAAATACTGTTCCACTGACCAGGCCAAGAGGAGGAAAACAAGATCATAGTAATATTAAATAAGAGGAGCCTGATCTTCTAGCTGTGTCAGCAAGGCTTCTGTATTCTAAACCTCGGGGTCAAACTCAGGCACTCCCAGTTCCAGCAACAGAACTGAAGGACCCTCCACTGGAGAAAGCACAGTCCAGCTCTGGATGAAAGTACGGCTGTCCCAATCTCAGGCTAGTCAGCACTGTTTGTAATGGTATGCAAGACCACTCTATGATTTACTGTGGGCCATATCCACACACACCGACTTTTTGTGACCAAGACCACCCCCAAAATACAGCGTTTTTAAATTTTAAAAAATTGGTCCTCCATGCAAAAAGGTTTTTTATTACCCACAAGACATGTCCATTCCTCTGCACTTCATTTTTTACTGACTGCTCCCATGGACCCCTTTCTGTGACACTACAATGCCAAAGGGTTTTTGTGAGCCCCTGATAGGCTGCCTCAGAATTTGCCCTTTTAAATAAATGCAATTTTATGATCTATAATGAATGATTTAAAATAGTGTAAAACAGCTGCTGGGAATGCCTTTTGGAAAGCAAGCCTTGAGAACTGCAGCTATTACCACAGCCACTTTTACATGCAGCCCCAGAGAGTTCATCGGGGTCAGCGTGGCCCTCGGCCTGAAAAGGATTAGCCACCTGTGAACAAGAATATATACAATTTCTATGAACACAACAGATTTATTAACCAATTGCTCAACAATAATAGGATGGATTCTTAACCAGCAGAACCTTGAATCAATGCTAGGATCCCCTAATCTGAGCATGTTTAATCACCCTTCAGCAGGTAATATGAAGGCTTTCACCCTTGGGAAACATCAAGGTTTCTAATTTGTGGTGCCAGCACAAAAAAAGGAAAGTCATCTCTTTTATTTTATAAATCTTAAAAAGTTGTCAGGCGAGTAAAGTGAGCTAATCCAGGGACCAATCACATAAAGAAAAGATTGGTCACATTAGTAGCATTTGGAGAACAGACCTTCAGGGTCACGCTGCAAAGCATGTCAGAAAAGAGTCAACCCTCAACTTGTTCTAATCTGACTCTGTGGACATGTGAAGCTCATCAGGGCACAGCCATTATAAGCAACCCGATACTGAAGGAACAAACACCCACACAACGGCTATTGAAATGCACACAGCTTATTGGTAGATTGTATTGCAGCACCGACCAATCCTTCAACATCTTAGTCGAAAACACAATCATAGAGCCGGGCAGGACTCAAGCACTTCTTTGAGGATTGTGCAAGTTTGGTCTTTCAGCCTTTATCTCAGCCAGTGCCAGAAGAGATAGCATTAGAGAGATACTGTAAATGAATCCACCCTGTTTTAGACAAATATTTAACAAGTATCCAAGGTTATCAATCCTGTGGAGTTAGATGAGGAAAACAGGCTTAAAACCAATATTGAAGTATTAATTCAGAGCATCAAACTAGCATTCTGAGTTAGGAGACGCCAAAGCAGGATGGAGAAGCAGCGGAAGGGAATCTGGTTTTCTGTCTGTGGGTTGACAGTATATATATGAATGCAGCCATCATCTCTCAACCTCAGAAACTTCTCTAATATGTGGGGTAATAATTCTGACCTACATTATAAATTCACTGTAAATCTTACTGAGATAATATTCTCTTCAGAGGGCGTTGTATTATCGATCTAAAGTCCAGGCTAACAAAAGTGATTCAGATATATAGCATTAAAGGTCTCACACAGTTTCAGTTCACTTTATGCAAGTAACAGTTCAATCCAAAAGTAAAGGTTCCCCACCTTTGGATGGAACATGTCCAATATACCTGATTACATGGTTCTTCATCAAATGAAGAGAATCGGCAGTTTATTGTTGGAGAGAACTGTCTAAAGTCAACAATATTAGAAACCAATGTTTACCATACCTGAAGGTGGAGGGACATCTGTTAATAAAGAGTGAACATCTTCCATTGCATCTGTATCATCAATCTGAAAAAAGACAGTATATAAATTATGTTGCACTCTGAAATTGGATTTATCAAGATTAATACAGCATATACTGTATGACATATACATATACATATAGCCAAGGCTTTTTTGCTCCTAAAAACATGTTTGGTAACTTCAGTTAGGCTTAAAATCACCATCACGACTAAGTTTGCCCCTGGACAAATTGAGCTGGAATTTAAATGTAACATGCTCAAGGGAAAGTGTGTTTATGAACACAGCCAAAATCATTTCAACTGGTTTTTCGCTCTTCAAGACAATTCAATTGATTTGGGACTATTTTTAAATGCTCATGATTATAAAACAAATGTCCATATTTCTTTTTTTAAAAAAGATGTATTTATTTCACAAAGAATAGCTGTGCCAACTTTATAAAATATTTATTTCCTGATCTGTAGTGGCACAAGCTGTAGATTGGTCTGTGAGAGGGAAGGGATGCAAGCAAACAAACCTGCTAAACCAGCCCCTTCTTCAATTTTACCACTGTCACCATATGGATACAATTTTCCCCTGGCTGCCTCCACTAAACACCTCCCCTATCTCTCTCCAACATTTCTTAACTGGTGCAGCCAAATCTCCACATTGGACAGAGTGGTAAGGCAGTTAGGTATGGGGTGAATAAGAAGGCAAAGACACAAACCCAAAACAAACTTAGTTTTTACTTAAGATTTTTGTGTGAGGTAACAAATTCAGAGTTTTTTAAGATGGTCTAGAAAAACATTTGTTTTTTAAAAAATAGTTTTGACTAGCTATCCATAAAAGCAAAATACAAATAAGAAAGGAAAAGGCATCCCCTCAGTTCACTTTTTGGACCACCAGACAGTAGATGACTGCTCTTTCAGTTTTCATTTCCCGAAACCTGTTAGGTCCCTTCAATATTTTGTTCCATTTTCCCCTTAGCTACTAAGTTCCTTAGCTGAATCTCTGACCTTGGTCAGAAAGCAGATGCAAAAATTTCACCAACCAACCAAAATACAAAATTCTGAACAGCTTTATTCCTTCAATGTCACAAATAAAGCAATACTTTGGTTAATAATTATCAAAGCAATCTTATCTAGAAATGAAAAAACAGAAGAGCTCAATGAATGCTGAGAACAACAAACAACTTATACATTTAGGTCTTCATTGATCAAACAGGAGCTAAAAAATATTTGTTGTAGGCCACTAACCCCTTTCTAGTCTATTTTGGCTGATAGAGCATATCTGATAATTTGGATAGTTAAGCTATAAGTTTGTCACTAAGAATTTTAGAATTGCCTCTCCTAGGGTTGTTATGTTACCATAAAATTTTTTGAATTCCTGCAACTTCTTATTATAGAAAATCAGGTGTGTAAGGCAAACAATCTTATACTTTATGACAGTGGACAACCCCAACCCTCCCCAAGGATTATACTTCATGAAGTAGAATCTAGTTCACAGAAGCTTGCACCACAATAGATGTGTTAGTGTTTAACAAGAAATTATTCTTTAATTAGCAACTTTGATATTTTTATACCCTTTAAGTTCTTCAGAAGGCATGTAGAAGTCTAAACTTTACAGAACATACCTCCAAGACGAAAGCATCTTTTTTTCCATGTGACAGGTCCAATTCTGTAATTTCATCAGAACTTTCAGACTGGGATCTTAGCACCCTAGTGCGCCTTGGTTCTGGAATGGGCGAACCTATAATTTCTTCAGGTGCCTCCTAAGCAGAACAACGGTATGAAAACATGTATGCATCCCTTATTTTATTAAATCTCGCTTATTTTAAATGCCATGCCACTATACCCTTCCTCCAAAACAAAGGCAAAAAGTACAGGCACTGCCCCTTATCATCAGGGCCAAATTCAACACATTGAAAGGTACAATCTGAAGAAGTGTTGAATAGCATGGATCAGGTCCCAATTCATGCAACGCAGAACTTCTTCAAAGTGCACCTTTCGATTGCTGGTGCTTCCTCCCTTCCTTGCTTGGCATTGGATGAAGGGGTGCATGATTTCTGCAGTCTAAAAAATAGCACAGAGGCAGCATCCCCTAAAGCAGAAATACTGCAGTTCAAGAGCTGAGGAAGCAATAAAGTGTTTGGCTGTTTAACTGTTCCTGTCCGAAGTACCCAAATGAGAACCTAATGGATGCAGCATCAGCATCTTCTTAGACTTGAGAATCCACCTACAACTTATGCTTTCTCTAGGAAATGAAGGGACATTGGGGCTCTGCAGTTTAAAAAGTTATGTACAGAACTGAGCACTGCGGGTTCCTGAGGGTAAGCCAAGGCAGGAAATGAGGAAACCAAGCCTAGACCTACGTTGTGTAGCTGAGTTCTTTGGTCTTTTGGCCTTCCTCCTTTACAGAAGCCACCAATTTAGGCTTGAGATACATCAGGGGGTGAAGGGGCGTGGGAAGGAAAGGTTCAGTTGTTCTTGCAAACCTCTTTGTAGATATGCATTATAATAATAAAAATAAACCTCCCTCCCCCCCCCAAATTACAGACTCCCCCACTTGTGCACATGGCTACCTTCTAAGTAAGTTTTTTTGCTCATGTGCACAATCCATTCTGCATTAGCTAACAGGATATAGATTTGGTATGAACTGTGTATGACTCAGAATTGTTTGAACTGTTCCAAAACCTTGCTTACTGGAGGATTAATCTCATAAAGCTCCTTATTTTTGGCTATTGCATCATTTATCTTCTTCTGCATGTGCGATATATGTTGTTCGTAAGTGGCGTCATTCGGCGTCTTCCCAGCAATTTGAATCCCACCAGGAGATGGTAAAGCAGTCAGGTATACACCCGTGGCAGACTTTAAAGAATAAGACAAAAAAAATAATGAAGTGCAATATATACTCATGCTTTTTTAAATAAATGCTTTCTAAGCATGCATTTCACACTATTTGTTAAATGTCCACTATTTAAACTTGAACCTCACAATCACAAATTTTCTAGTAATGTTATACTATTGGAATAACTTCTGGAAGCTTTCCACACTAAACCCATTTGACAGAACATGTAATCCATTCAGCTTTTTAAAAAGATTAGCAACACAAAAATTCATACATTGTAACAGATATCGCCTTCATTGTTCATACTTACAATTTTACAAAGACTGCTATAAGCTGGATCTTGCAAGAGTCTAGAGTGCCCTAGCTCTTATATCATCTTTGTGTTTTATATACAAATTACAACAGATAACATAGAAGCTGCAGACACAGCATCCTAAGAATTTAACAATGAGATTTATTCTGCCAGCAGCCTTCAAGAAACATCCCTAAATGCTAAATCTCAAAGTCTCTGTTTTCATTAGAAAACTACGGAGAAGATAAACGGCTGGATCATAGTTCTCATCCTAACATTCACTTTCTTCAGGCGTTCAAAACAAAGTGTGATGCCTCAGACTGGGTAGGATGATGCAGGGGTGTGAAAGCATGTGTGGCAATAGTGGGACTTAGGAGCACATCTCCCAAGCCCACAAATGCTCTTTAGAATGGGTGAAGAGAACTCAAGAATACAGTGGTGCCCCGCAAGACGAACGCCTTGCAAGACGGAAAACCCGCTAGACAAAAGGGTTTTCCGTTTTGGAGGCGCTTCACAAAACGAATTTCCCTATGGGGTTGCTTCGCAAGACGAAAAAATCTTGCGCGTCCCCGCGGGTTTTTTTCGCTTTTTCCCCCCCTTTTCCTAATCCGCTAAGCCGCCTATCAGCTGTTCCGCTGATAACCTGCTTAACAGCTGATTGCGAAAAGCCGCTAGACCGCTGTAGCGCTAATCCGCTAAGCTGTCAATGGGCTTGCTTCGCAAGACGAAAAAACCACTAGACGAAGAGAATCGCGGAACGGATTCTTTTCGTCTAGCGAGGCACCACTGTACTCCATTCCTGGCTGCAAGACTGTTTCTACCAACAATTATTTAAGAAAAAAAACCCGCTTGAAAAGACCTGCTGGATGAGGCAAAAAAGCCCATCTAGTCCAGTCCTGTTATCACAATGGCCAATCAAATGTCTATGGGAGGCCTGCAAGCAGGTTGTGAGGACAACAGCTCTCTCCCTACATGTGATTCTCATCAGAGGCATACTGCTTTCCGTATCACACATTAGAACTTAGCAGCAGGAACACAGTTCTCTGGAGTGCAGCTGATGCTACTGAACATATACTGACATGGATGGAGGAGCTGAAATATAGGAGAGATGCTGCAAAGGGAAGGAAGGTGTTTTTTTTGGGGGGGGACAGAGTTTTGAGCATGAGACTGGAGTCTATGGGAAATGCAGACTGACTCTTTAAGTAATGACCTTCATTTCTGGTTGGAGAGAGCCACAGTTGTGTCACCTGCTGATTCTGCCAGCTGCCAATGGCTATTTTCCAGGTTCTCTATAGCCTTGAAAAACTTTAAGTCCACTGAAGTCTGCCATTCCCAAACCTATAATCTTCCCTCATCCCCAGAAATACTTTTAATCAACTAAATACATATCTTAAATACTACCTTCTCCTTTTGGTGTCATCATTTATTTATAATGGGTACTTTTTATGCTGCCCTTCAATCATATTCCATGGCAGTTTAGAAGAAAGACTAAATGGCGCATAATCAAAAAAGCATCATAACTAAGACTAGATTGTACTGTCCATTTAACTGTGCAGTTACCATCATGGAAAAGTATTGGGGCATTTCCAGGTGGCTGCTCACCAACTGTGGAGCCCGCTTCTCTTAAAGCATGGAAGGCCAGCTGGCTGCCTGTAGGCCAAATACACCCACCTTCTGAGTCAATTCTGTATGCTTTACTGGTAGCTTGACCAAGTTTCAATTAAGTCACAGCAAATGTTTTTCTCATTTAATTGCAATGAAAAGAAAAATGTATGCTTGCACAAAATGTAAATAGCCCATACTTTGTTTCTTTTTTACTTTGTTTATAACATGTATTTTTACTTTCTTTAATTAAAGGACAATGCATGTCCTTGTGTAGAATACTATGCCTGAATGCATGTGCTCCATAATTTTGGAAGGCCTAACTGCCAAATAGCGCCAACTTGATTATAGAGCCTACCTACTTGGTTGTGGAAGATTGCCACTTTCTAGAGAACATAATGGCTACCAGTAAGACTTTGCCTGACTATCTCAGTCAAAGTCTGATCCTCTATAATTTCTAGAAGAAATGTAAAAAAAAAATCCTCTTTGTACTGGCATCCAGTGACCAGGAGTAAGCAGCTATGGGGATATTCTAATTTAAATAGAGGTGTTGTTTTCATTATGTGGGTTTTATTTTATTTTAACTGCTCTCCAGAAAAGGGAATAAAAGAACCCCAAAATAAACACAGAAAAACTTACTGCCAAACCCATTAGCATTGTTTCTCCTACTGTGATCTGAATCCTCAGTCCAAAAAGAGCATTCATTCCTTTCAGTTTTAGCTTGTTCATCAGCTGAGTGTGTACTTCATATTCCATAAATGGCAGCAGATTACTGATGGAAGTTGCATTTGCTTCGGCTTGTGCTTTCTTTTTCAGCCGACACAACCTATTGGGATGGACAGTAAAACACAAAGGGTCATGTTCAACTATGTTTTAGTTGGAGTTGTCCCACTGAAATTAATGCATATGACTAAGTTAGGTCCATTCATTTCAATGCATCTACCATGAGGAAAACCTGGTTGTATACTATCCAGAGTGGTAGTCCTGGTCTTATATGAAAAGTCTCTTAGCAATGGCTAAGAATTTTAACACCAAAAAAATGCCCTTTTCTATAACGCATGATTCCTGAGGCTCCCCACCACAATCAGTGATATGCCAAGCTATAGGTAAAATGGTTGAATCTAGCAAAGGTCTAACAGGTAAACTAGAAGGTCTGAACAAAAACAAAGGACTAGATTAAAAAAAACCACAGTCTGACAGATGAGTTTTAAAGCTTACCAGCAACAGAATTATGGGCAGCATTATCTACTAAATATGCAAATTAAAAAAGGGGGAAATGCAAGTTCCACCCAGAAGGGAGTATCGCCAAGTTAAATGGTACCTCCTTCCTAGAAAATGTGCTTAAGCTGTAAGGGAAAAAAAATTATGTGTCAGAAGTAACAAGTTGCTTGTCTTGACAAAAAGCGTCCAGACTAGAATTCATTTTTTGCCTTCCCTTTTCCAGAGTAGCCCTGCTCTTGGTAAAAGGAAACTTTCAGATGCTGTTGAAGGGGCCAGCGCTACTAACATTGATAACTGTACCCTGCTCTTTAAAACAAACAGAGAGGTCAAAACAGAGAGCAAAGCAAATCTGGCAGAAAGATACCTGGCTTGAATGAGACATCCTTTCCCAACCACCAGTGCATCCACAGGCAAATCTATTGTTGTGAAAAGAACATCAGGGACTTTTTGCTTCCTGCAGTTGCAGCAGTAAGTGAGGTGAGCAGGGAATGGCATGTTGAGCTCATCGTATGGTATGTGGCAAAAGCCACAACCCAGAGGTGATGTTTCCTCTAACCTAAAAAATGAGATTGTGAGACATCTAATATTACCATTCAGACACCATCTTGTGAAATATAAATATTGTATTTTACTGTGTTTTTTTAAAAAAACTGACCCATGCAGGCACTAACAGAACCCATACATTGTGGTGGTCAACTTTTGTTCTCTTTTTATGGTCCTTGCAACTGATTAAGCTGGTAAACAGTCACACACCTGTCACCCGTAGTGAGTCAAAATTGCCTTCAAGAGATCAGGCAGGGACGCAGTTTAAAAGTTTGTTCTCCTCCCTCCTTCCTTTTTAAGGTATGCTTGTGTATGCAAGGCAAGGCTGGAATACATGGGAACTAATGGTAGAATAATTGATTTTATCAATGTTAAAAGTCAAGCTTCTATAGAGTTACAGTCTTAACAAGAATAAAAAAGCCCAGTACAACGAAAAAACCAAGTTGCATAAATCAGAGGGACAATTGCAACACAGTACTGTAATAAGATGGACTGTTTTGATTAGAATGAGCAAATATATTGCTATGGCTTTGCCTTTGTCTTAACAAAAAAACCTGACTGTACCCCGAGGGCTCTTCTTTTTGGAACATAACACTCATTTGGGCACCTCTACAACAGGTTCTGGCAGTTTGAATTTGAGCAGAGATAGAATGCATGAGAGCAGTGAGTCAGCAAAAGGCAAAGCACTTTGGGGTGCAGCTGTTCTCTTTGGGAGTCTGATGCAGGATTAACAGTTGTGCTGCCTCCTCTAGGAGTCTGTTTTGCTTGTTCTATACTCTGCCCGCATCTTTGTAAATAAAACTCATTATGGCAAGAACACCCAACGTCATTTTCCTGAGCCAAAGAAAACCCATAATACTACCCTATTACTTCTTACCTCTTGGGGAAATAGGGAGCATCTAAACATATGTATTGTCTCGTGTTTCTGACAGCTGCAGCGTAATCTGAACATGGAGAGCTACTGTTTGCAAATCTCAAAATATTCTGCACTGAATATTTCATAGAAAGGTGGGATATATGTTTTGGGGAGAAGCAAATGAAATCACAGGACATGGTAGTTTATATTGTTATCTGCACATATAACACCTTATCCCTCTTCTTTATTTTTAAACTACCACACATCTTCGCTGTACCTTGCACTGATAGGATTTTTCAGCTGAGCAAGTGGACCAATTTGATGCTTTCGGCATAAAAAAACTGGAATTCTGATAACACAATTTGCATATCAAAGCTTCATCATATAAACAACTGGGTACAACCCAAGCAGCAAAAGTTAGACGTAAAACACCTTCCCTTCAGAAGCACTGAAACAAACTCATCTTGTCTAAAGGAAGGGATGGATTGTATAAACAACAGCTTTAGAATAAAATTCAACAAGAACATCTCTTGCAATAGAGCCCACTGAAAAGAACAGCATATACACATATTATATTCAAAACGTGGTTCTTACCATCTTTGTATTTATTTGATAATTTTTTATATACTGGGGGAGGGATAACAATATACACTATTTTAAAAGAGGGCACAGAGGGAAAATGGTTAGGTGCAGACATAATGCTATTGATCCCTAATGATGAACTGGGTTAAGATGTATTTTATTTAAGTAAAAGTTTAATCCACTCATATTTGCAAGGCAAGATGAGGAAACAAGGGGGAGGGGGAATGTACCAAGATGCAATGATGTAACAACAGGGATACATTACAGTATTTTATAGGCCTGCGGGGAGGCAGGGGGAATGCTGGCTTCTGGGAGAAAGTGGGAGCTGCCTTCTAGTGTAACCTCAAGCAAAAACTTTTTATCAATACAGCCTGCTGTATTGGAAAGCACCTGTGTCCTAAACCACTAGATGGTGCCAAGTTGAAGAATGAGTTGTGCTTCAATACCATCAACTCTAGCTTATTTTCTCAGGCTTAATACCTCTAACGTTTCATGAACTTTAGTTGACATTTTTAAAGAGTTAAATTTACCCATGCGCAGTCAAAAGATTTTGTCAATATTTCAAGAGAGGCAAATTGCCACATGATACATTTATCATCAAGCTTATGCAGTGAAATGACACAGGGGATCACTTGTATGCAGTGTGCTATGAGAAGCAGAATAGGAAGGAGTGGCAAAGAGGAAGAAAAGATTTGCATTATGTGGTTAGTAGTCAAATGTGTTACCTTGCTGAGGCTGTTAGAAATTTGAAAACAATAAGGCTAGAGATTTGGTGCAGAGCTCCACAACTTCTGTTGTTGTTAGTGAAAAATCAGTAAAGTGGTTGGCTCCGCATCCTGTACTGTAACACTGGTAACCTACCCTAATAGAGAAGAACTATCCTGGTTTTGAGGAAAAAAATCAACCTCTCCCTTCTCTGACCCTATGGAAAAGTAGCCAGGCTGCCATGACAACCTTTGTTCCAAACAGACTTCCGTGGTGCCATCCTGGAGAAATCTAGGGTTCAATACAGCTGCCGTGCCAGATGCAGACAAAATACAGACCTCTTCACTATAGAAAAGAAAAGAAGATGATAAAGCCACATTTTTTATTATATGCATTTTTAGGCATCCTATTTAGTAAAAGTCAAAACAACAATTATGAAACCAATTCAGAGCAAACCCTTTTGGAGCTGTATAGCCCAAGTTGAAGAATATACCGTATTTTTCGCTCTATAACACGCACCCGACCATAACACGCACGTAGTTTTTAGAGGAGGAAAATCCGTAGGCATGCCACCCGTAGGCATTCCCTCCATAACACGCACAGACATTCTCCTTACTTTTTAGGAGGAAAAAAGTGAGTGTTATGGTGCAAAAAATACGGTAGTTACAGCATTCAGGAAAGGTGAGGCAGCCCTCTGCAGCCAGCAGGACTGCACTCTCTTCTCGTCAACAGATGATTGGCAGGTGTCTATCCCACCCACCCAATCCAAGTTGGCCCATAGTAGTAATAATAATAATAATAATAATAATAATAATAATAATAATAATAATAATAATTTATTATTTATACCCCGCCCATCTGGCTGGGTTTCCCCAGCCACTCTGGGCGGCTTCCAACTGAATATTAAAAACAGTACAGCATCAAACATTAAAAACTTCCCTAAAGAGGGCTGCCTTCAGATGACTTTTAAAAGTAAAATAGTTGTTTATTGCTTTGACATCTGCTGGGAGGGCGTTCCACAGGGCAGGCGCCACTACCAAGAAGGTCTTCTGCCTGGTTCCCTGTAACCTTACTTCTCGCAATGAGGGAACCGCCAGGAGGGCCTCGGCGCTGGATCTCAGTGTCCGGGCTGAACGATGGGGGTGGAGACGCTCCTTCAGGTATACTGGACCGAGGCCGTTTAGGGCTTTAAAGGTCAGCACCAACACTTTGAATTGTGCTCGGAAACGTACTGGGAGCCAATGCAGATCTCTCAGAACCGGTGTTATGTGGTCCCGGCGGCCACTCCCATAGGGGAGATAAAGATCTGACCCACTGGGCCAAAAAGGCTCCCCACTTCTATTCTACCAATATACACTAGAACTGTTGCTGGCATATTTTCCCAAACACGTTGAATGAGTGAACTTTTACTGCTGTGAAGTTTTAGAGATAGTTGGCCACCCAGTTCAAAAAGAAGACATTTCTTTCCAAGCAGCATTGATCAAAGAATGATCTGGGGACAAGAGAACACATAAAATCCTCCCATAGGTTGTGAAGCCTAAGCAAGGGTGCACTATTAAAAAAAAAGGTAAAAGACCCCTGACAGTTAAGTCCAGTCGCAGATGACTCTGGGTTGTGGCACTCTTCTCGCTTTATAGGCCAAGGGAACTGGCGTTTGTCCGCAGACAGTTTTTCCAGGTCATGTGGCCAGCATGACTAAGCCGCTTCTGGCACAACGGAACACCGAAACCAGAGCAGCACACAGAAACGCAGTTTACCTTCCACTGGAGCGGTACCTATTTATCTACTTGCACTTTTTTTGCATGCTTTCAAAATGCTAGGTTGAAAGGAGCTGGGACCGAGCAACGGGAGCTCACCCCGTCGCGGGGATTCGAACCGCCAACCTTCTGATCGGCAAGCCCAAGAGGCTCAGTGGTTGAGACCACAGCGCCACCCTAGGGTGCACTATGTTCTCCTGTAAATACAAGGATCTAATTAATTGTTCTGCTCCATCTACAAGAAACAGCAGTCAATACTAGAGTAATGGAAGCTTCCTACAGTTCTGTTGCTATATTTTTTTATTCAATTATTCCATTAATTTATAGACCAATTAATATTTTTTTCAAAAATCTAAGTGATTTTCAAAGTAAAAAACGTAAAACTGCAAGGTTTAGATTAAAAATAACAACACAAAAAGACATTATCACTGAAAAGAATCCAGAACCAGAATACTGAAACAAACTACCAAGCAGTGCAGTCTAAAAAACAAGAGTCAGGAAATGCCTGAACAAGTAGGTTTTTAATAGGCATCTGAAACACATCACAGTGATGCATCTTTGGCATGCGCCAGAAAGGGTGTCCCTGCCTCTCTGCCTGTTTTCTGCACCATTGTCTGAAGCATTCTCACTGCCTATCTCAGCTTTGCCTACACACTGCTTCCTGCAGTAATTTCTTCTCCTTCCACACATGCTGCTTGTATGATTCAGGACTCATTTCAAAAGCATTACAAAAATATAAGTGATTTACCAAATGCTAGTTGATTCACTGTAGCCCACTACAGCATGACACCCCAGTGCCTTTGCATGGGATTTAATTTCTTGTCGTATTTCGGCCCACCATGCATCTCGTGTCTCTGGGTCATCTGAAAGATAAAGCAAAAATCAGTCACTGTTCTGCACTAACACAAGCATGTAAAACTTTGTGGCTAAAGATCAAGAATAATTTAGCTTTCAAGCTGTCACAAGCACCTGACAACTTTGTTTTTGCTTCCTATCAGCCTATCTCTATACTGATTAGGTAACCTTGCTTATTCCTTTGTAGTGCTGATTTCATGAACTGAAACCTTGTTGATTCACTTGACTTCTTTAATTCTTAGAAAAGCACAAGATTTTTATGGATTTACTTTGTCCAACATTGTCTGCACAGGGGAACGTTGTGGCTATGAGCTACACTCATTTCCTATCTAACCTTATATGTGCGTATTTATTTCTTGACTAAAATAGAGCAGTAGCCTCTGCAACCAGAATCTACCTCAAATCCCACTGTAAGGACATCCGTAGTCACCAAATCTCAATGTTAAAGAGATCACACTCATTGTGGTTTCCTCCCTCTCTGGGCATCACTTTCAAAAACTCCATAGTCAGGATACCAAGAAATGTGGAGCTTAACGCTTGTTGTTCGTGTATAGAAGCCCCCATTGCTATATGTAATTCTCCATCGATGGTGTTTTGTTTTTCGAATACACCCTGAGAGCAAAAATCTTAAAACTTTTGTGTCAGTCTTCTACAACTCCATATTCCAGGTAGTCCTTCTCCCTCAGCCTCTGGTCATAGCCAATAGCCACCCTCTTGCCCATTAGGGCAAAATAAGGACCTCACTTCTGGTCCTTAACTATGACAATGTGTAAATTGCCATGTTTAGGCCTTCCTTTCTTAACAGTGGGAGAGGGGAAATCAGTGTTTTGACCCTTACAGCTTTTGAGGCATGCACACAGCGCCAGGGGTCAAAATGATCCTGCACAAAGCTGCTTATAATTTTAGTTGTTGGCCATAGCTGCAGATGCTTAGCCCAGAAATTATTCTGTCCACCAGAAAGGAGCATAGAGGATGAAATGTTCTGTCTATTTTCGTAACAGACTAATCAGTAACTCAACTTCTACCAACATCACAGATAGGATCAAGGGTCAATAGTACCCCCACAGGTGTACTAAGCCACTTTATAACCCTGAATTGTTTAACCCCACCCCTTAATTAGAACTTTTCTTGTGAAAAAGCAAAACCATTTTTGTATCATAGCTATTTTTGTGCAAAACTAAATAACCTGGTTTTGGGGGTCACTGAGACCCCAACTGCAAGCAACCAGTATCCTCACTTCTGTAGGTGGCAAGACAGTTCAGGACCTTTAGATGCCCATTTATCTCTAGATACATAGAACCATCTCTGCAAAATGTGTTCTGGTGATTTCTAGGGCACAATGTCACTAGCCTCCTTCAAAAGAAAGAATGAAGTTCTCAAACTGAGGACAAGTTTCAGCGCTGAACTACAGGTGTGGGAGACAAGCTTACCCTTGTGTGTGGCCTATGGGATACGTTTAATAACACTCACACACAATATTTCATTATTACATATGATAATGTAATAACTGGTGAAAAATTAGTGCCATGCAAAGAAAGATGTCCAATGAGGCAGTATATGCCATCCAAATTCACAAAGTATGGCATAAAACTATGGCTGTGTTGCAATTCCAAAACATCATGCTTATGATACAGATATGTATATATAAGCGGGGACTGGAGAACAGTAGTCAGACAGTAGTCAAGAAACAAGCAACGCAGGATTTAGAGGATTATGGATGAAATATAACAATAAACAGCCAGGGGATTGGTGCGGAAAACCTGACTCTGGGTGGCTCACTGAAAAAACAAACAAACCAGAAATTCTCCCCAAGTTCCTTGCCCACAAATCCTGAAGTGTCAACAGCAACATATTTTGGCTTTCAAGAAGATTTGACACTTTTCAGTCATAGGCTAACTACGTAGGTCGGAATTTTAAGCTTGAGACCATTCTGTATTGTATTAAATTAAAGGAGGCATAGATGCCTGTGGCCAGATTGTTTTCATATACAGTTCCACATGCATGATAAAACTGTGGCTGATGGTGCTTAAATATATAGTGGACACTCACTGCTTATGTCTGGAAACTGAACAACCCACTGTAGTGTGAGTATCCTGAAAAATCCCATTGTGGCTGATCTAATTCTAAAGTTCATCAACCTCTCCTCTAAGTCTAGATATGTAGCTAGCTTGCTTGGGGCAGTCTCAGAACTGGTAAATCATTTGTCTGGCCTACTCTTACGAGTTGTGAAAAGTGGTGCTTTCTGCTCAGGCTGCTCAGTTATCATGCACTATGGTTACAAAGTCTGCAATACTAACCTCACTTACCTGGGAGTAAGATCTATTGAATTCAATAGAACTTACTTCTGAGCAGACATGGTTAGGATTGCCCTGTTATTAATTTAGAAGAAATTATTCGACAGTGGAATTTGCTGCCAAGGAGTGTGGTGGAGTCTCCTTCTTTGGAGGTCTTTAAGCAGAGGCTTGACAACCATATGTCAGGAGTGCTCTGATGGTGTTTCCTGCTTGGCAGGGGGTTGGACTCGATGGCCCTTGTGGTCTATTCCAACTCTATGATTCTATGATTCTATAAACCTATTATTATTATTATTATTATTATTATTATTATTATTATTATTTTAAAAACCTAAGCAGTATACATGAAAAACAACATAAAACAATTATTTGTTGTTACCAGGAGTTCACCACTCATTATCACTGCACCGTTATAATGTAATTATAACATTTGCATAAGTATATGTGTGTTAATGGCACTTTTTAAGTTTAAACGGTGGAATCAATGATTTATGGGCAATTATAGTGTTTTATTGGGAAAGAGGTCTCAAAAAGGCATGAATTTTATTTTGTTTTGTTTTACTTGCAAATGGTCTCATGCTTGATAATTTCCACCAGGTATTTTCTTTTAATAACTTTCCTGGAGCATATCTAACCATGATATCAAATTGATACAACTTTTTTTTTCTATTGAAAGAGGTTTAAACTATTTCAAAAGCAATGTGAAATATGGCATAGTTTACAGTTAAGCCATTCTTTCACTACCAGCCTGTGTTTTCATATTGATATGACAACCAAAAAATAATCAAATGAGACACACAGCCTATTGCTGCTGCAACCAAAAAGGGAAAGATGTTATCTTACGCTAGTAAATAAAATGGCATTTATTAAATGAATCAAAAACTCAAGGTATAACATTCATTTTAAAGAACAATTTTGTTAACACTGTAACCATAAATGACACATTTGTGAGGATGCACTGAAGGTAAACCTTGTTTTTGCACCCTGGTCTTAAAACAGATTTACTTGGAAGTGGGTTCCAATGATTGCAAACAGAACTTACTCACAAGCAAGGTGTTCAGAGCAAGAATCTTTAATTCATTTATTTTTCAAATGGCTTACACATGCACCAGCAGAAATATTTGTGGAGGTTATTATGGAGCCCAACACAACCAAAAATCCAAAAGCAATCTTAATTCTCAAGAAAAATGTGTTTAAGAGCAGGACTTGCTAATTAAGAAGAAAGAAATGCATTCAGCAGCAAGCACACACACAAGCAAATAAACAAAAAAACAAACAAAAATGACTTACTATGTACTGTGAAAGCTTACTTATAAAGGAGAGAGGGCTTTGGGGACTCCCTTTCCATAACACAATTTCAGAAGAGGTCACCATAAAGAGAAATAAAATGAATGCATTTATGAGTTTCACTGACTCCATAATGACAACCATATCATCATACAGCCATATTTATTCTAAGTGTGGCTGGCCCTGCCTTTTTAAAAAAGCATGCAGTGACTAAACTAAGAATACAAAGCATACTGCTATAAATTAGGGCTGAAAAACTGGCAGCTCAAGTGAAATCTTGGGTGATGGTGGTGGGGCTTGGCTCAAGGCCTCCCACAAAATGGAAGGCTAGCAGCTAACCATGTAAGACCTGCAGTCCCCTAGGTGTTTCTGAACTCCAGCTCCCCGCAGCCCCTCAACCACCACTGATGGTCATGGAGAATAAGAATTGTAGTGCAGGAACACTTGGAGGGTTCACCAGTTCTCATGAAAAGCCTAACTATCTGAGGCGCTAATGAATCATTTTGATAAAATAGGTAGACCTTGTTCATAGTGTAAAAGTGTGAGAATAAAGCTTTTCAATACTCAAATGGGCATGCCTTCTAAAGAGCATAAGGATATCCAGTAATGAATCAAGATACAGTTGTACCTTGGAAGTCGAATGGAATCCGTTCCATTCGACTTCCAAAACGTTTGGAAACCAAGGCACGGCTTTTGATTGGCTGCAGAAAGCTCCTGCAGCCAATCAGAAGCCGTGTTAGATGTTCGGGTTCCAAAGATCGTTTGCAAACCAGAACATTCACTTCTGCGTTTGCGGCATTCAAGAGCCAAAACGTTCAACTCGCAAGGCATTTGGGATCCAAGGTACGACTGTAGTTTACTTCCAGACAAGGCTGACCCAAGACATTTTGCTGCCTGAGGCAAAGGACAAGATGGTACTCCATACACTCCATGTACAGAAGCTGACCAGAATGGAAGCTGGATATTACTTTAACACTGGAGGCAGAATAGCAGAATTCTCCATTACACCTGAGGGAAGTCGGCCGGCTTAGGAATCGTGGAACTCATAGCTGTGGCACCTCATTGCTGCTCATCAGCATCTACTTCGTAAGATGGCTGCCTCATTCTTTCTAATGTTAATGCCATCCCTGGGTCCAGACAAAAACCTGCTTAACCCTTACCACACTGAGAAGAAGCCAGGACCAACTGGGAACCAAAAGCTAGATGCTTCAGAAGAAATAGTTGTCCACCATTTAAAGATATGACTCTTTAAACTATTTAATCTGCATCTTAAACACCCACGCTGGTGTACATGCCTATAGTTAATATCTCCAACAATACTGGTGTTACATCACTGGCATTCTGTGGTACTGTGTTGGTAAAGCAAAAATGCATTTGCCGGCATAGTGAGATCAGTCCATCAGCTACTAAAAAATGTAGAAGTAATCATATATCTGTAACTCCTATTTTTATCTCCCAGAATGAAATTTGGAGCATTCTATTAATTTCTATTAAACCTAGCATTCTATTAATTTCTATTAAACCTAGCATTTTATTAATTTCTATTAGTTTCTGCCATAGTGGATCACAGGCAGGCAAACAGATTTACAAGGTGCACCCACTTCTTTGGCTGTTTCCATTTCTTTCCTATTCTCCAGTCAAGGGCAGACTTAAGACTCTATCCAGACATCAGAGCCTGAGGATCAGTTATTCAAGTGGATGGGGTCTTTTTAGGACAAAAACTAAACCAGGCCAGACTCCTACAATGGAAAGTGAATAGCTCACTCAAATACCTTTCTAGGCACAAATGGAGTCTGATGGGGAAAATGTTCATCTAACCTTGTACTGCAAGCTTCAAATTCTGTATGTGGAGAACCCAGGCAACAGTCCAGAGGAGTGGGAAGCAAGTTCCTTGGAGCTTTTTCAATGCTTTCCTCTCGCCAATGGCAGCCCCCTGCACTGCTTGACTAGCCATTTTTGAAACTTGTGGTAATCCCAAAAGCACTCTTAGAAAGTAGCATGAGAAGCTGCTTTTTGGTAATAAAACTGAGATTTCATAGTTCCTTAAGCACGCCTTAAAGGGGTACTGAGGAAAAAGGACAAAATATTCTGGGCTTGCAAGATATTGGAAGAGATTATAATTAAGTTTGGTTTGGGGGTTTTTATATAGTGAATGAAAAATCCGACTGCTGCATTGAAACTGAGAAAATGTCTTTCTAAAAACAAGGCATTTAAAAGAGGGGAAAGGGGGAAAACAGCTTTTCCTAAGTTATACAATGATACACAGTAAGAAAACATTAAAATAATTACTCTAAAAATCTAAGTGTCACCACTCTTTTGTGTTGTAACCGTGTCTCAACATATATAACATATGTAGTTACTGATAGTATTGCTTAACCTTCTAAATAATTAAGTTTGAATGAAAGTTCAGAAAAGCAGGTCAGAGAAGATGAGACAAGAGAGAGGGAGGGTGGGGAAGATAACAAGGCAAGCAAAAAAATCAAAACACAAGCAAATATATGAAAATTGCAAACATGGTTAAAAAAGGTCAGAGTGGTAAAAAAAAAATGTTCAAAAGAAAGAGGCAGAAACACTGTTGAAGGATCCCTAGACTAGATCCATAGACTCATCCTGTTTCTTTCTGCTAACAAGTTGGATTCTGTAGCTCACAGAGTTTAAAAACAAGTTATCTCCTATTCCTGCTACCTTTACAGTAATAAATCCTGATGAGCTCCATTCATGTGTGTTATTTGATTGTAGTGTCTTCACAATAGTGAACACTTGTTCACTCTAAATGTTTGACTAGCACCAGTTACTGAAAGGTCACGGAGTTAAAACCACTCAATGGCTAAAAACCAGAACAAAGAACATTGTGAGATCATGGTTAAACGCCATGTGGCATACTGCCACGTGGAATCCAATAACAAATGGCCAAACCAATGTTCCCCCCCCCCAAAAAAAGCAAACTAGCTTTTAGCAGAGAAGAACTATGAGGATCACTTAACAGGTAGTGTATGGGAGCAGGATCAGCTCCACTGCATCCAGAAGGACCACATGCCAAACTACAAAGTTTAAAACAAAGTTTCTCCTCTCATACATAATTTAATTTAAAAGGTAAAAAAGAAATGAATTTCTCATTCTCTTCCACAACATCATAGGTTTTAATGGATTTTAGTTCCCCCTCTATTAAAGTTAACCAAAGAACTTTGTATATATACAAAATGCAATGCATATTCACACACAATATACGCAAACTTACCTTGCATGTAAAAAGATAAAAATGACTTTAATAAATAAATAAAAATCAATACACCACAACATGGCAAGAATAGTTCATACAAAACACTGGAATGCAGTGCAATGTGGAGCATTCTATTTTTTCTGACATGTATTTTTTTTTTTTTACACGAGCCACACAATTTCACATGGGGATGCCATCAGAGCATTTACACATTTACGTAAAGCTAAGGATTTACATAAACAATAGAGGAGTTGGGGGGGAGCAGGATGGCATGGGTCCAGCACACTCCAGGAGGGTGCCGCCTGTTTGTTCCGGGCTAAAGCAAAAGCTTAAAGAACTAAGGGTTTGCAAAGCAGATTCAGCAGACAGGAGCCAGAAACGGTGGGTATTTTGGCGCATGCTTGGATCAGGTGACAGTACAGACTGAAAACTATGGCAGCTCACTGAAATGGTTACAGAAAATAATGGCCCTGGAGTCTAGGTGAAAGCAAAAGGCAAGCATACAGAGCACTCAATCACAAGCTTTTCTAGCAAAAATCTATTCAAGTAAGTTTAGCAAGGATTCCCTGAAAACTTTTGAGCAGAAGATCTGTACAATATTCTGCTGCATTTGAATCTTTCACTGGAATTACAAGAATCTTGCAGGGTTCAATCAATATTTTAGTTCCTACAAATAGATACGGTGTTGGAGGATAATGATTAGCAGAGCAGTAATGGGACACTCCAGCTGAAAAATTGTTGCTTCTAACAAGTTAGTTGTAGTCAATATCAACTTCTGTTGGTGTACTCATGCATACATGAGCCTTCTCCTGATGTGATTTTAGAATTGCACATTGGCTCCAAGCCCTTAAATTAAGTTCTGTCAGAAATAAGTCATTTACCAGGACTAATTAATATGCTTTAATTGCAGCCTGTATGATATGATTAATACTATTGAAAGGGCAAATCTACCCAAGTACCCCAACTTGAAAATGTAAAGAGAGAAATATTGTATTAACGCAAACCCCAAGTGTTACTAAGACAGTTGTACTCAAAATGCTTCCTTACTCCTGTTTCTTTATTTTCAGGAATCAACCCTGAAAAGCAAATAAGATCCTAGCCTATACTTAAAACTCAATGGATTTTTAAAAAAAAATTCTGCTGGTGGCACTGACAGTTCTGAATGGAAGTTTCTATGAAAAAGGATAATCATCTCTTACAGTACGATCTGAGATTTTAAAAGAGAGAGAGGAATCATATACAATCAAAACACACTGGGTTCAATAGTGGGCGGGACTGCCTTTTTTCTCCCAGGCACCTGCCCCCCTTTCCATTTTTTATTTTTTATTTTGGGCAATTGCATAAAGCTAAATGTACACAATTTAAACATAAGTAAGTTGTTAGTTCCCTGTACTGCCTAGATGATCCAACATGCATTATCTTCCAGTTTGCATTTGAAAACACAGATTGTGTTATGGGTTGGTACTGTTTTCATTTTTGTATACAGAAACCTACACTGGGACCTTCTGGTGAATACAATTATTATTATTAATAATAATAATAATAATAATAATAATAAATATTTATGCCACGCCCATCTGACTGGGTTTCCCCAACCACTCTGGGCGGCTTCCAACAGAATTAATGATAATTATTATTAAAAAAGCAATAAAACATCAGACTTCCCTGAAGGATGGATAGATGGATAAGAACTCAGCACGCTATTCCAATACCTTTTACTCAAAGTATACCTATTAAAATTAATGGGTCTACCTTAGTCATGTCCATTCATTTCAATGCGTCTATTCTATGTAAAACTTAGTTGAATAGCACCCACAAAATGTAGTCGTAGTC